GGCAACTCACGAGAAAGAGTCAAACGCCCAAAGAGAGAATCAGACATCAGAACAGGAGGACTTATACTTGAGGCCCTGTGACCAAGCAACCCTTCCACAATCTGGCTTAGGAGTCGCTAAGGTAGCCGTCCCTCATCCTGACCCTTTACCCCTTGGGCAAACAGCCACACCTCAGCTCGACCATGAGGGCCCCGAGGGAAAAGACACTACACATTCTGCTCCTGAAGGGCGGGGGCAGGATGCCCCCCTTCCTCCTGACACTGAGTCTCCTGAACAAGATACAGGAGATGCAAGAGGCGGAATAGATTTGACTCATGCGACTCTTAGACGTAGCTTACGTCGATTGGAACAAAAGGAGGCTTTGTCCCACCTTAGTGGGGAAAGGTGGGACAGAGAAAGCTAATCCCACTTGGGTTCCCTGAGAGACGTCACTAAGAAGATAGCAACTAACTTGTAAAGGTCATTGCAGTAGTGCTTATTTGTAACATCATAAGTCTTGTAGAAAAGTAGCAATAAAAGACTTTAGTTGTATTGCCTGCATATGTGTGGGTCATTTACAACTGTGAGCTGACACCGTTCACAACAAACATACAACCAAGTAACCTTAGTACATTTGATTGATCTTTCTAAGCACTTGTTACATATCTGTTCTTTGATGGAAAAACCGAATTGCCCTCTTTAGGAAAGAGAGAGAGAGAGAGAGAAAATCTTTTCTTCCTGAAATTCTTTTCCTTTGTTTCTCTGACTTCTCTTTTCTGGATCCAATCCTCCACTGGTGTGCCTTTCACATTTGTCAAGGAGGGAAAGAATAATCAAGAAGAGAGAAATGCAGGTTTTGTTGTTTCTGTTCTCTTGAGATTCAGAGTCAGAAATCTACTACATGTAAAAGAGTAGGCATTGTGTAATTCTTATTATAAAACTTTGAAGAAGAAGAGGAGGAAGAGGAAGAAGAAGAAGAAAAGTGTAATGCTTCCAAATATCTTCCAGATAGCCTAAAGTGCTTGATCCTGCCTGATCTTAAAAGCTAAGCAGAGTTGGGCAAGGCTGAAATCTGGCTGAGTTACTTGAATGTTGTGGACCACCTGAGAATATATGCAATGTAATATTAACAATATTTTTTAATAAAGATGCTTCTCCCAGGGGCATGTTCAAGAGTAAACATTCCATTGCAAATAAGAGACCATGTTGAAAAGTAGCTGCCTGTCACAATTTTTCATCTTGCTGTTTTTGAATAGCTGTATGCAGAGAGGTGTAGCTAACTCATAAAACAGGGGTCCTCAAACATTTCAAACATGGGGTCAGTTCACTTGCCCTCAGACTGTTAGGAGGTGGAGTATAGTTTGAAAAAAATATGAACAGTACTGCATATTAAAAATTAAAGTTAAAATAAAGTTACAAAATAATTAACATTAAAGTAAATTAAAAATTAATTAAAATTTTAAAAAATTAACATCAAAAAATGTTTGCTGCACTCACTCAGGCTGCAGCAGAAGCCAAAGGGAAGGGCGTGTCCATATTCAAGGGACATAGCTACAACACAACCAAGGCACTATATATAGCATTTTGCATAATGCAGCTGATGACTGCAACTGGCACTTGCAAAGAATGAGACGAGGGATGCGGCTGCAGCTGGCTGAGTGGGGCACCTCCTGCCTCTCCCCACCATGGGGGGAAGAAGCATGGCAGTCACTCAATGGTGGCAGCTTGCCCATAGATGCCCATGGCTCCCACAGTTTGCCCAGTGAGGGCTGTGGTGGAAGCATGGGAGCCGTGACCCCAATCCACCTCAGCCTGTTCACCCCCAGGCTTGGCGAAGTGGCTGCTGCTTGGCCTGCATCCCAGGGACATGGCTCACATCCTTAAAAACGGATTTAAAAAGTTATACAGTGGTACCTCAGCTCATGAACTTAATCCATTCCACAACTCTGTTCATGACCCAAACTGGTCACGTTCTGACCCATACAAACATGGTCATGAGCCAATTTTGGTCACTAGCCAAGTTAAATTTCCCCATAAGTTTCAATGTAAATAAGGTTAATCAGTTCAGTAAATATTTTTTTAAACACAAAAATTTGAAACAAAGTAACAAAGAACAACAAAGGAACAGAGTACAGTACAGTAGAGAACACTAACGTAGGTGTGGGGGAGGTAATTGTTTGGAGGGAGAGCCCAATAGCGATTGTGCTCGGGGGGAGACAGGCACGGCCACGCTCGTGAAGGGAAGATGGCCAGCTCCTGACCCCCTGAGCACTATTATGCAGGCGTGATCATGG